TTCTGGCTATTGTAGATTGTGCTGCTATGAACATAGGGGTGCATATATCCTTTCTGATTGGTGTTTCTAGTTTCTTGGGATATATTTTTAGGAGTGGGATTACTGGGTCAAATGGGAGTTCCATTTTCAGTTTTTGAGGAAACTCCACACTGTTCTCCACAGTGGTTGCACCAGTCTGCATTCCCACCAACAGTGCACAAGGGTTCCTTTTTCTCTGCAATCTCGCCAACACTTGTCATTTGTTGATTTGTTGATGTTGGCGTTCTGACAGGTGTGAGATGGTACCGCATTGTTGTTTTGATTTGCATCTCTCCCTCATGCTTTTAATTGTTCTTTTTCCTTTTGTTGCTATTTTTGAGTAATTTTTCTACCTTGTCTTCTTATTTGGTGATTTGAATTTCTGCTTCTTCTAACCTGCTATTGATTTTTCTTGTAGTATATTTTTTATGTCAGCTGTCATTCTTCATTTCTGACTGTTCTTTTTTTGTTTGATTGTTTTTCCCATGGGTTCTATGTTCTTTTCATGCTGTTTCCTCGTTGAACATTTTTGAAACCATTATGTTATATGATGTTTCTGAAAAATTGCTTGCTTCCATTTCATTTAGATCTTTTTCTGGAAATTCCTGTTGTTGTCCCATATGGGGTCTGTTTCTTTGTTTTCCCATTGTTGCTGTTTCTTTGTGTGTGTTTTTTCTGTGTATTTGATATGACTTCTATGTCTCCTTGTCTTGGTGAAATGGCCTCCTTGATCTTCTGACTTGGGTGCAATAGGAATTAGGAACATCCCCTGTGTGGGTTTTGTGGGCCTTCCTATTGTATTTGGGTCTTGAATGCTGTCATCCCTTTCGTAGGTGAGCTCAGCCCTCAGGCTTGCTGCCTGCTTGGGTCAACCCCAACCACGTTATGCCAACTGTTACACAGAACAAAACAAGACTGAGAGAACAAAATAAGACAAAGCAACCCAAACCAAGAACAAAATGAAAAGTAAAACAAAACAACAACATTAAAGACTAAAAAAGGAAAAACAAAAAGAATACTAAAAGCCACAAAGACCAAAAGTATTATAGAATGAGAAAAAAGAACCAAAAAGTAAATGAGAGAGAATATCAGAGAAGAAAAAAGAAATAGAATAAGTATAAAAAAGAAAAGTATAAAGGAAGTAATATTAATAATTTTTAGAATAATAATAATAATGAATAAATGAAAATATGGAATAGATAAAGTAAAACAAGAATAGAAAGTAATAAAATAAGAAAAATTAAAGATAAAGAGAAAAGGAATAGAATAAAAGGAAAGGGACATAATAGATATTAAATAAAAATGAAAAGAAAACCTTTGGATCTGCTATTTGTGAAGCTCACTAGATTTTGTTCTGTTGTTGAATCTGGCCTGGGATGTGTTGGTTCCAGACTTCTCAGGTGGTTCTTTGTTGCCAGTGTTAGTCACTGTCCCTGCCTGGCCCAGAGCAACCTGACAGAAGCATGGCAAGGTTGATCCCCAAGTAGTTAAGTGGGCAGAGCCTCTATAGCCCAGTGGCTGCCTCAGCCTCAGTTCTCATGTCCCTGTTCTTAGTTGCTCTCCCTTCCTGCTGGGACTGAGCAGTGGACTCTGAGTGATGGATGAAAAATTATTCCGACACATGTTTCTGTGAAAGGGCTGAGAGGGCTAACGGACTGCCTGGCTATGAGAACCAGAGAGCCCCGTTTGCCTGCCTGCCTTATGCTTTTATTATAACAACAGCTTGAACTAAAATTAACTTCTAAATACTATCAGCAGGGTAAGTATCCTTGAGAAGACATGCATTTGCAGTGTCCTTTAAGTAAGGATGTCTAAAGACTAAACATAAAGATTCCAATAAAACACCGAGGAGCTCAGACTTATTTGGAAAAGTCAAGACAGGGACAACTGTCTTTTGCCAGCTCCCCTGGAGGACCCTGTCCTTTCAGAGATTTCTCCTTACAAACTTTCCAATCAAGTCCTGTACTTTCTCACACCTTCCCCTATAGAACTGGGCACTGTGGGGTAGACAGGGTGGTTTAAACAAACTTATGTTGGGGGTGGCCTGTAGTTTGTAGGACGGATGGCTGTCACTTCCTCTTTTTTAAATACCTCAGCTTTTGGTGGCTCACTTGCACTCCCTTGCTGCCACCTCAAGCAGGAGGGGATTAAAAAATAAAAATAAATCAGCCCTGCTTTGCACTCTAATCTTTCTGTGCAGCTGGCCACCACTGGGCCGGGTCTCTACCCAGGCTTTGGCCAGGCCAAATGTCTAAGTCCCCTATATTGCCAGACCCAGTTGCACCAATGCAAATTTCCAGCCCAGGTCCCTTTCTTCTTGCCTCAGGTTGCTGCAGTGTGGGACTGAAATAGCTCCAGAAGTGGAGAAAGGGGTGCTTTCCCTGTGCTCAAAGCAGGACTGATCCTCTTTCTCCAGGGCACACTGTCCAGCCGGTCTTGCTCTCTACCAGAAGTTCTTCCAGGGAATAAAGGGTCCCTCAGATTCACTGTAGGTGTACGAGTCAGACTCCTCCACTGTCTCAAGAGTTTCACCACATGGCCCTTCCCACAGACATAGATTGGGGCAAACTTCTGAGGTGGGATGATGGTGGGGTATCCGTTGCCAGTCCCTCCAGTGAGTCTCAGCTTTGGGCACCCCCAGCTGCACTTCTGCTGTAGCCTCTGCAGCCAATGCCACCCGGCCACCTCCCCCTACAACCCTAGTGCTCCTGGCTGCTTCATAGTCGAGCCTTTGTTCAGCTCCCGATTCCAGTGGCACCCAGGGCTCTCATGGCAAACTCCCAGTCCCTAGACCCTAATTCCTGACAGCTCTCTGCATGGCTTAGTCTGGTGTGGAGGTCTTTGGTGGTAGAAGCAGTGCCACACACCTAGTCATAGCCACCCTCAGTGGAAGGATTTTGTAAATCACAATATGGTGCAGGCTCCAAAACCTTCCTGCATTATCTTTTAACAAGTTGCTTAATCATACCAAGCCTCAAATTGCATATCTATAAAATTGGCTATCCCAGAGGGTTATGTGAGGACAAATGAAATAGTGACCATAAAATACTTAGCACAAGATTGGACAGGTAGTGTTTTATGTTTAAGATTAAAATAGATTATTTGCCAAAACCAGTTTGGCTCAGTGGTAGAGCGTCGGTCTGCGGACTGAAAGGTCCCAGGTTCGATTCTGGTCAGGGGCATGTACGTTGGTTGCGGGCACATCCCCAGTGGGGGGGGGGGGGGGTGAGAGGCAGCTAGTCGATGTTTCTCTCTAATCGATGTTTCTAGCTCTCTATCTCTCTTCCTTCCTCTCTGTAAAAAATCAATAAAATATATATTTTTAAAAAATATTAAAATATATGAGAGGAAAATGGGGTTTATTTTTGTTGCATTTTAACTGTGATTAATAGTATATGGCTTTTGCTTTAATATATAAAAGAGATCCTTAACAGTTTACTGGTATAAAGAACACTATGGGACAGTTTGGTTTTACCTTGCAATCTGTCATTACGTGATCTCTGGCATATAGTTAATGAGATGGTGAATTCTCAGCTGTTTCCTAACCAATGTTGATCTAAATAATTTTTGGGACATTACTTATAAACACAGAAATAGGTATATATTTGTTTTGATTCTAGTTCTTATAAAAACAAATACCAAAAAAAGTACAAATCTATTTTCTTATATACTCTAAATTTAAAATGATAGCTAGTTTTAGGGTTTTTTAAAACTAAATTACTGCTTATAGCATGAAATGCTACAGGTTTAAGGCCTTCTGAGTGTGAAGTTTAAATACTTATATATTTTCAAGTTCTACCATATTGCTTTTGTAAAACTGTACCACTCTTGGCTGTCATTTAGTATAGAAATGTATTATATATACGCAGTTTTCCTATGGTCCCTTTCCCACCCTCGATTAGCATAAATGTAACTTCATTAACATTAGCATCTTTGTCAAAATAGTTTTTATTATGCATAGATTTTAAAATTTAAGTCTTAATCATGCAAAAATTATCAATTTATTATTACTATAAAAGGATCATTGTTTACAACTGAAACAGACTTTGATGTGAGTAGAGCTGCAGATAGTTGTCATTATGACATTAGCTACTTAAGTCATTTGCTACCAAATAAATCATCAGAGGTAAACATTGTCACTAAATTGATTCAGGGAAGAAACCTAAATCATCCCCAATATTGTGTATATTAATTATTTATAGATTTTATCAAATTAAAAATATAGAAATTCTAGAAGTCTTGGGCATAAGTGCTTAAATGGGTTTGAGAACTGTAGTTGAGATAATCATGATGGATCCAGTGTAGTGAACACATTAAATACACACATGCCATGCACTATGCTAGGTGCTAAGGCTCTAAAGATGATATATACATGCCCTCTCTCCTTAAATGAGCTCCTAGGACAAGCCACGTAAAGTTAGAGGTGGAGGTAGTTTAGAGGAGTCAGTATGAGAAAATGCTTAGAGTAAAAAAATCTATATAGATTGATAATCTGAAATATTTAGTTCAACTCACAAAGTTTTGACAAAGAAGACTGTGGAGATTGGCATAAATCCTGGAAGGCCTTGAATGCCTCTAAAAAGAAAGTGATTCCTAAAAGCTCTTAAGACTTGTATTATTAGTTTAGATCAGTGGCATGAAAAAAATTAAGGGAAAAGTTAGCACACTGGCATTAATCACAATGAAAATAAATTCTTTAAATTTTGAATAATTGGGAAAATATGAAAAGAAAGTTTATTTGCTAACTGCTCAAGGCTTTGTTACTATGAGTTCTAAGCAAAGTCTAAACAACTGGATCTAACAGGGTCTTCATAGTGAAAATAATGGTAATGGAATCTAGTGATTGGAATAGCCTATTATCCCTGTCATTGATTTACTTTGATATTTGGTAAATATTAAAAAAAAAAGTTTTATGTTTTTATTTTGATTTAAAATTTGACATTTCACCATGATGATAAATTTTTGCCTTTTTTCTCCAATAGCATTTTCTGCCCCAGCAAATCAACTCTTTTCTCCTCACTGTTCTAATCCTGCAACACCTGCAGCAACTCCTGTTCCTACTGCATCCCCTGTTAAGGCAGCAAATCATTCATCGGTATCAGCAACTGCCACAGTTTCTGGGTTGAACATGCTTCCTGTGTTCCCAGGGCAGGTCTCCTCAGCTGTTCATACATCTCAGCCGTCAATGCCAAATCCAACAGTTATCAGAACCCCTTCATTACCAGCTGCACCTGTCACTTCTGTCCATAGCACAATGTCTATTCCTGTTCCTTCAGTTTTTCCTGGCCTAGTTCCACTGCCAGGTTCTTCTGCCACTCCTACCCCACTCCCTCAGGCCACATCTATACCTCGGGCCACTCCTGCTTCTAATGAGACATTTGCTTCTACTTCTGCTTCTTTTGTTAGCCTTCCGTTTTCTGCCACCTCTACTATTGGTTCTACCAACAGCCCAAATCCTGCTTCGTTGTCATCAGTTTTTGAAGGTCTCCCCTTGCCCTTAACACCAACATCCCAAGGCATGTCCAACCCAAATCCTTCTGTAATTGCTGGTGGTTCTGCTCCCAGTGTTGCTCGTCCACTTGGTCTAAATAATCCTCTTTTATCTGCTTTAAAAGGCTTTCTGACATCAAAGGATACCAATTTAATAAACTCTTCTGCTTTATCCACTGCTATTACAAGTGGCCTGTCTTCACTCTCTTCTCTTACTAATCACAACTCAGATTCTCCTGCCTTAGCCTCTAATAAGTGTTATGCCCCATCAGCCATTCCCACCCCACAGGAGTCTTCTACTCCAGGATTGGCCATGTTCCCAGGCCTTTCCTCTCCTGTGGCCAACACAACTTCCTCTCCCCCTACTTTGCCTGTCCAGTCTCCTCTAGCTACTCCAAAATCAGCTTTAACTTCAGGGTCAGTTAGCTCTGGCTCCTCGGCTACCCTTTTGCATGGCCCCCATCCAAGTAACTCAGACTTGCATATTACAGCCAGCACTGCTGTAGCAACTATTTCTGCTACAATAAAAGCTGAACCCATAAGTCCTACTCCCTCAGCCTTTAAAGGTCCATCTCATTCTGTGAATCCCTCTCATAGCACTTTAGGTTTGTCAGGGACACTAGGTCATGCATATACTTCAACATCAGTACCCATCAGTTTATCTGCTTGCCTTAATCCTGCATTATCAGGTCTTTCCAGTTTGAGTACTCCCTTGAATGTTTCAAATCCCCTTTCCTCTATTTCCCTTCCACCACATGGTTCCTCCACTCCAATCACTCCAGTATTCACTGCTCTTCCTCCCTTTACTTCTTTGACCAGTAATTTTCCTTTGACAGGTAATCCATCTCTTAATCCATCAGTATCTCTTCCAGGGACATTAATAGTCACCTCATCTGCAACTGTCACATCCATATCTATCCCTCATCCTAGTTCTACATCAGCTATTCTCTCAGGGCTTTCTGTCTCAGCACCAGTCTCAGCAACACCTTTCCCCCTTAACTTGTCAAATGCTGTCCCTTCACTTTTTTCAGTTACTCAAGGACCTTTGCCATCTTCAAATCCATCCTACCCTGGCTTTTCTGTCTCTAACACCCCCAGTGTTACCCCTGCTCTCCCTTCATTCCCGGGGCTGCAGGCACCCCCTACAGTTTCAGCAGTCACACCACTGCCTGTCACTGCTACAGCCCCATCACCAGCTCCTGTCCTCCCAGGATTCGCTTCAGCTTTTAGTTCCAATTTCAACTCTGCTCTTGTTGCACAAGCCAGGTATGTGGATAGTTTGGAAATAGAATAAAATCATTCTTTAACTAACTTGTATTTCATTGTCTTACTTTTAAGTTATTCAAATTAAAATCAAAATAATTGGTGGTGCTAAATTACGTTATGTTTTTCTGGGCTGAAACTTTAGTGCTTAAAAAATGTTTTATGATTCTTTAATCATGTTAAGGTAAATATATAAAACATGAATGCCTACTCAGATAATTTTAAGATTTGCATTTGGTAATTTATCCTGATTATAAAATCACAAAAAATAATATCTATTCAAAACATAGACTTAATTGAGTTCAGAATAATATACTATATAACAGAAAGTACATTTATATTAGTGAGAGGCTGACTTTTATAGTTTCTAACAGAGAAATTCTAAGATTCTTTTTTTTACATGTTAAGATAGTGTTTGACAAATATAGAAGCAGTAGCTTTTATGTCTTATATTTTTCTGTTTTTCTATCATTTTAGCTTATCATCTGGACTTCAAACTGCAGGCAGTTCTGTTTTTCCAGGCCTTTTGTCCCTCCCAGGTATCCCTGGATTTTCCCAGAACCCTTCACAGTCATCCTTGCAAGAATTGCAGCATAATGCAGCTGCACAGTCAGCATTGTTGCAGCAGGTAAACAGACAATGTCTGGCATAAATAAAATGTCATATAACTTCTATAGTGATAATCTTACAATACCAATAGTGACATCCCAGCATTTGCAAAAAAAATGACTCTAAGCAGAATATCAAGAGATATGATGGCTAATTCTTCCAAAATATGCAAATTATGCTTGTCTTCCTTCAGAAAGGTAACAAAGGTGATAGAATATATTCATCTGTATGAATTGTTTTTCCTGCTCATATATTTTTAAATCTGAGTTTTGAGATTTTATAAATGGAATATTTATACATGACTGATAATTTTTTTTTCAATTATATTTTTATTGATTTCAGAGAAGAAGGGAGAGGGAGAGAGAGAAACATCAATGATGAGAGAGAATCATTAATTGGGTGCCTCCTACACATCCCCCACTAGGGATTGAGCCTGAAAACCGGGCAAGTGCTCTTGACCGGAATCGAACCTGGAGCTTTTCAGTTCACAGGCTGATGCTCTATCCACTGAGCCAAACCGGCTAGGGCCATGACTGTTAAATTTTAGCTTGTTTTCTACAATTTAAGCACATTTTCTCTAGAAAGCCTATTTTTTTTTTTTTTAATCATTTAATGGCATTTCTGTGCACCTCCACCATCAGAAGTTGAACATTTCTTAAAAATTTTAGGAGACTGAGCAGATTGATCTCGTCCAATGTTTTTTTTCTTTTCTACCTCAAATATCTGTACTATTGCATAGGCAAAAGCAAGTGCAGACTTGGTGGAATTTGACTTTCTGCTAAACTGCTTGTTCTTTTTTCTATCAGGTCCATTCAGCTTCAGCTCTGGAAAGCTATCCAACTCAGCCGGATGGGTTTCCTAGTTTTTCTTCAACGTCAGGAACACCATTCTCTTTGCAACCAGGCCTGTCCCAAAGTGGTTGGCAGTGAATAAAATTGCATTTACCTTTGAATACCATCAGAATTGCCTAAGGACTTCAATGAACAAGCTGACAAATGTGAACTTGTCCAAAAATCAGATAATAAGAATGAGGATAATCCTGGGGAAATTGGGATGTTTTAAAACTTTTGCATTTTTAAAGGTTTTAGGTATGAACACTCCCCTTGTGTAAATATGCTGATAATGAATTGTGTGTAGAATAATATTTAAAAAGTGGGGACTTCTCACCTCCCATCCTATGAAGTTTTGTGTTGTGTATGTGATTTATGTAATAAGAATACTAAAGAGGAGGTTGAACTCTTTATAGCCGAATACAGCCTTAAATCTGCTTGTATAGCGTCCACTGACAAAAGTAATAATTTGTGCCTCAGACTTATGGGTTGCATGTGGCCCTAGGGGAGTTGCTACCCTTGGTATGCATGAGTGATTCCTATTAGCGTCATTGGAACGCAGAACCCCTTATGTATTCACAAAAGGGGACTTGAGATCCACAGTTATTTTTAATTTCTGGTATTAATGATCATACATATACTGCTGAATTTAACTCTATACTTAAGTAAGTAAAAATGGTGCTTAATATAGACTTTAGAATGACTTTCAGGTATTTTTGACTACTTAATAGAAATACAAGTGAGGCTTGTGATAATTTGCCTTCAGAACTTAATCTCAGCAATATCCAAATGAGTGAGAAACATTTGAGTGACTCTTGGGCAACCTCTATTACTCATTATACTCTGGAGCTCTTGGTGAATGTTTACAATCATGGGATGTAGTATTTCTATTTGTATTTAAAGTCAAATGCTTATCTAAAATAAATATGTGACAATAGAGGAGATTTGCTCTGTTAGTAAATATGCAGTGTGTACTCTAAGGATCTGTGGTAGTATAACATGATTGTATGTTATTAATTTAAGTATAATAACTGCCACATTTGGAGAGACGGAGTAGGGAGAATTATTTCCAACCTGTAATTAAGAGTGTAAACTATAGAATCTACTGTAGTACATTTCAGCATCTAGAAGTTTTACTTTTATAAAGATGGTGTTTGAAAGATGTTGCTAATGTATTTTCCTTCAACATGGGGAGCAAACTTTTTAAGTATATTAATAAATATTCCTGTATGGTTAGTTTTTAACAATTTTTTAAAAATAAACTTTATGGATATAACATATTTTATAAGTGACTTATTAAATGCTTAGATGGGCTTTTTAAGTTTTTGTATATGCTAAAGCTAATAATACATAGAACATTTTTGTTCAAATTTAGTTGAAATTCAATATATACTACTGATTACTCACTTATTTAAATACTAGAGGCCATATGCACAAAACCGTGCACTGGGGGAAGGGGGTCCTCTCAGCCCAGTCTGCACCCTCTCACAGTCCGGTAGTCTGCAGGGGATGTCCAGCTGACAGCTTAGTGGGCCTAAGCCAGCAGTCGGACATCCTTAGTGCTGCCACAGAGGTGGGAGAGGTTCCTGCCACTGATGCTGCACTAGCCAGCTGTGAGGCTGACTTTTGGCTGAGCTGCACTTCCCCTATGGGAACACATTGACCATCAGGGGGCTGCTCCTGTGTTTAGCGCCTGCCCACTGGTGGTCAGTGTGCATCATAGCGACTGGTTGGTCTTCTGTTTAGTTGATTTGCATATTAGGCTTTTATTATATAGGATATCTGATGTAAAAGTTGTATTATAACCAACACTTGAAACAGACTACTTATACTTTTAATTATTTTCAAACACAGAATGTAACCTCATAGTTTATCTGATGCCAATTGCTAGAAGTTGTCATTTGTTTTTGTTTTTAATCAGTCTATACTCAAAATATTTTTAGGATTATATGGTTTTGCTTATATATGCTAAATATTCACAAAGAAGTTATTGAACAACTAATCTTTCTGTAAGGATGCTATTGTGACGTTTATTTCTGCTATCATAGTAAAGGAACTGTTCATCTTTTTAGATATATTTCTGACATCTTACACATATTAGGGACTTAAAGATTTACATAAAAATGAAGAAAACATTTTTAGAGCTTTTGTAGTAATTACTGGGGACTGGTTTTATGTATCTCAATCCTATGAGATAAATAGTAGCAACCTATTTAACCACCAGATAAAGAAGCCAAGGTGTAAGTCACACAATGAGTAAGTGGTAATTGAAACCAAACATTTACTACCAATACCAGGCTACTTGTATTATCAAATGCTATGAAAATATATAGAAGGGGAGTACCTTTCTGCCTGAGGGAATTCACAAAGATTTCTCAGTGACATTAAAGTCTTAAAGGATGAGGAAGAATTAACATCCTTTAAAAGGCACAAAGTATGACAGACTAGCATAGTAATATGATCATATAACTGGACGGAGTTTGAATAGTTTGTGGCTTGAGTGTGTGGAAGAAAAAAAAGCCACATATTAAACTTAAGCTCAGGAACCAAAAGAAACCACATGGTGGTATGAAAGTGAAAATTTCTAAGAGCTGGAAGTTGGTCATGGTTAGTCATGTCCTAAGCCTGTAGCCTTCTTGATAAAGATCAATCTTTAGCTTATAAATTGTCTATTGTCTTTGTGAATCTGAAATAACACCTTAAAAATATCAGTAACACCCTCCCACCCCCCACCCCCAGGCTCCTTGAAGGCACAATTTGCACCAGAGCATAAGACCACATTGTTATCTTGTTGCTCACATACCATCTCTATGTACTGTAACTGTTAAATATCCAATGTTCTCACCAATGTAAAAGAAGCTATATGTTTTTCTTTTTTTACTTTTAATCCAAATGCAGATTTCCCGTTTTGCTTTCTCTCACATTCCTAATCTACCACCAGTGAATTTCATGGAAGCTTTCTTATGTCTCCTTGGATTTTAATATATAATATAAGCTGCAAAGCTACCATTCTCCAGAGCATTTTCTCAATTTGTTGAAATTTTGCTTCCCAGCAATTGTCATCAGTTTTGCTCAAATAAACTCTTATAAGACTTTTTCCTAGGCTGGATATTCTTTCATGGATCTTTACTTTGCATCATCTAAGACCACCCCACAAACTTGAACCCAATGCTAGATATCAGCAGGGGCCTATTGAGCCTCACTGCTCCTCACTTTGCATTGGGTGAACTTAGGTGAGTTATTTATTTTTACTTCCTCAGTCAATGAAAGGGAAACTAATGAGGGCCCAGGGCCACAGGATTCAGGCAGTAGGTCACTGTCTGGTAGAAGAGGTGGTAGAACGGCCTTGTTTTACCTTCTTGGGTTGCTGTTTGTTGGTGTGGCCACACCTTGCAGCAGTTGACAGCATGGGTATAGAAGGGCATAACATTTGTGGCAGATCATCCTGTCACAGTTGAGTTGGCAAAGAGATGATGTCCCTGCAGACAAAGTGCCAAGTGTAGGGTGGATTCTTTCTGGAATATTGTAGGGAAGGCAGCCATCTTCCAAATGTTTACCAGCAAAACTCAGGTGCTAATGGTCAGGCAGGAAGTCCTTCTTGTCTTAGATTTTCACTCTGACCTGAATGGTGTCACTGGGCTCAACCTCAAGGGTAATGGTCTTGCCCATCAGTGTCTTTTATAGATACTGCATCTGCCAGGGAGGCTGCAAGCCTGGGTTGTTGAAAAAGAGGATGAGTTATTAAAGAATTCAGGACCTCCCCTGACTTTATTTGAACTGTTCTTAGAAAATGCAAAGTGGCACTATAGGATAGAAGTTGAAATAGGCAGTTGTTTTTTTTTAATATATTTTATTGATTTTTATACAGAGAAGAAGGGAGAGAGATAGTTAGAAACATCAATGAGAGAGAGGCATCGATCAGCTGCCTCTTGCACACCCCCTACTGGGGATATGCCCGCAACCCAGGTATATGCCCTTGACCGGAATCGAACCCGGGACCCTTCAGTCCCCAAGCCGACCTCTATCCATTGAGCCAAACCGGTTACGGCAGGCAGTTGGTTTTAATTTTGGCTTTCAACCTGATCTACTATGAGTCTGAGCAAAACCTTTTGCTCTATAAATGAGTCTGAATTTAATCAACTACAAATATTTATCCCCTCCAGCTTGGATTTTGTGTATTCTCAGCTAAGAATCTTTGTGGAGGAATTTGAAAATATCCCTTAAAACGAGCAGTGGCCCCATAGAGAATTCCAACTATAATTAAACAATTGTCCATTCTGGGGCATGCACTTAAAGACACAGTTGTATTGGCTGGGGAGAGAAACCAAGACATTAAGAAGGTTGAAGTGACTCGAGAGGTGACAGCAGTATACTTTAATCTATCACACAGTATCCCTAGAAGTTTGTTCAGATTGTAGATCTTCATAGAAAACTGAAATTAACATGGGAAATTGTGTCTCTATGATTAATGAATTCCAAGAACCCCAGCTCTCCTGCAGCCTGTAGTATATATTTAATTTGTATGAAACTTCTATATTTTTTGCTCTGAGTTTCCTTGTTCAGATTTGCCCTTCCCTTTCTCCACCTTCATTTTCCTTCAACACCATTCCCTGCTTACCTAGGGAAAACAATTAAAAGCCAGACCAAGATACACTAGAAAACCCAGAAATTCTGGCAGCTTCCTTTAGTGAAAAGCCAGTTCTCAGCAAAGGGAAAGCAGTAATTGTATACATTCCTTGGACTAGAACAGAATTAAGGAATCTAAGGATTTCTATTACAGTGTTCATGACCCTGATGGCTTTGCCACCTGATTTTACTGTTAGAACATATAATCCTGACAATTCTGACCCGTCCATATTAATACACTAGTTTCTGAGAACAAGGCAACAGAATAGCTAAATAAGGTTCACTGGGGAACTTCTGTAGAAGACAGACCAGGAAAAATGTAGGAAATTAGCCCACTGGTTTTACCAAGCCATACCTGACATTTTTACCAAGAAAAGTGGACTGGACCAAGATCCAGTAATGTAAAAGAAACCCAATAACCCAATGAACCAATGCTTGGTGGAGAACATCTTTTAAATAATATATCTGTCTTTAGACCGTTTTAAAGATTATCAAAATGACCCATTACTAAATGGCATTTTTAAAAAAAGAACTAAGTGTAAAGCTTATAACTGATTAAACAACATAAATTAAGTTGGCCAACCATGTGTACCGACTTACTAAGCATACAAATTATGTAGATCTGAGAATATTCCTTGCTCCTTTTTAAATAAATGAAGGACTTAAGTTAAAGAGATTGATAAATTAGTAACTGATTTATTTTTATAGTGCATCCCCCAGAAAGAAAGATTTCAAAGACTATGGCTTACAACCAGAAGGTTTTTGTCTATTGGAAGACATCAATTAAAAGATTATCTTTAACCTCATTGAAAGAAAGCTTATTAGGTATTACCAACTTATCAAACAACATGCAGTCAAATTTTGTAGAATTCAAAATGGATTCAGATTTCTCATTTTAAAAAGGTGCCTAACCAGAAATGGACATCTATCCTTGCCTCTGACATGTGGATGAAAAGCCACAGGCATCAAAGGCAGACATCTATCACAAACCATTAACAAGGACTATATGCCCATAAATTGATGAACTAAGGAAAATTTGTTTAGTCTTTTTTTTTTTGTCTGTTAATAACAGTAATTTGATTTTTCTTTGATTTTTCTCAAAATGTACTCATAGCATCTAATTGTTAATGATTGATAAAAATATATGAAATAATTTTTATATAGTTTTTTTTTTTAATGGAAACAATATCTGTCTTCCCAGACCCTCTCCCTTATTGGTATAAAAAATTTAATGTTTTCCTTCTAATCTTTCCCATCTACTAGACAATGGATATTTTGATAATCAGTTATTATAATGAAACTAATGCCTTGTTAGCCACACATTGGTTTTCTTATATTACTAGTGTAATTACATTTTTCTCCAGATATACTTATTATAAAGAACCCATCTTGGGCAAATACTTTCAAGAACACCTCTCTGATAATTCTCTTGGTAAAGTTACATATAAATCTAATTTAGATGAACATTGTATTGATATATAAATGGATGATAAAAATTTTAAGAAAAATATCTGGATATGATGGGAAAAGGCAGCCTGCTTCATCTGTCATGGTACATCTTGTCCTCAGACTCCTCAGCTATTTTCATGTGGTTGTATGTCTCTAAAAGGGGGAAAAAATGGGTACCCATCTCAGAAATTACTATGATTACTTGGTGAGTAAATAGGTCTGCAACTATCTCAGCCTCCTTGTTTCAGACATTTGTGGAATACTATCAAATACTCAAACTCTAGCTCATTGTGTGGTTACCTCTACCTTTATTCCATGAGAAACTCAAAATTTTGTGATCCATTTGGTTTAAAACCCCAATCACTTTCCGACCATAGCTATCCATTAGCAAGAAAATTTCTGGTGGCTTCGATATTGGCCCTCATTAATAAATAAGAGAGGAATACTTGAAGAATTAGGGTCTGGCCTTGGTATTTTGAAACAAGTTGAATTTCAAGTTAATAAATCATTTGTTAGAAAGGAAATGTTATTTCAAAAACAAGGGAAATAATTCCAAGTCAAAGAATGGGGGAGGGAGGGGGAGGGGAAGGGGAGATGAAACATTAGTTTGGAGGGTTATAGTAAAAATTTTAAGAAATTTAGAAAAATCCAGGATCCAGTTCAGTTTAGTTCATGTGTGAAAAATAAAAACCTTGAAGACAATTTGGTGAACTAGAGTTTAATATCCACAACTAAAAGTAATCAATTTGTTTAGATTGGCAAATACATTTTATAACTTCTAGAAGCATAGGAACTTTTACCGGCAAACACACTCATTCTTTTATGGACATACTTCTAATAAAATGTAAGACATTCATTAACAACTCCAAATTTATTTTCTAGCTTCTCTGTATTCAAAGGTGAACCAAATTAGGTGATATTTTCTTATCCATTTATTTATTTTGTCTTTTGATTGGATAATTTAATCTAAATACATTTAAGGTTATTAATGATAGGCACTTGTTTGTTACCATTTTTGTTCTTTATGCCTGTGTTCCTCTTTTTCCATTTCCTTGTCTTATAATAGTCCCTTTAGCCTTTCTTGCATTGCTGGTTTGGTGGTAATAAGCTCCTTTAACATTTTTTGTTTGTTTTGTTTTTGTCTGTGAAGCTCCTAATTTCACCTTCATTTTGAATGATAGTCTTGCTGGATAGAATAGTTTTGGATTCAGTCCCTTACTTTTCATTATTTTGTATACTTCGTGCCACTCGCTTCTGCCCTAAAATGTTTCTATTGAGTCTAATGGGAGTTCCCTTGTAGGTAACACTCTCTCTCTCTCTCTCTCTCTCTCTCTCAGTTAAGATTCTTTCTTTGTCCTTAACATCTGACATTTTAATTATGATGGGTCTTGGTGTGGGTCTTTTTGGGTTCATATTTATTGGGACTCCCTATGCTTCCTGGTCATGTGTGACTTTTATCTTCATCAGGTCAGGAAAGTTTTCTGTCATTTCTTCAAACAGACTCTATTCCTTGTTCACCTTCTCCTGGCACCCCTATTATC